ACCAATTTTTTTTTTTTTTTTTTTTTTTTCATTATATATATATATATGTGTGTGTAGTCTTGGTTCTCACCTGTTCCAATGTCACTGTTTCTTATGGCAATATTTTGTGTCTCTGCGACATGAATTCCATCAGTATTGGGGCTATCCCCTGGTGCTCTAATGACAACATTTGAAACAATAACATTGAAGCATTTCTCAAATGATACGTGCATTTGTTGTGCATCTTTGAATCTCAGGTTGGTCACTTTCAAATTGTTGCATTGAAAGAAAGTCACGGCCTATGCAACAGATTTTTTTGCATCAAAAGTAAAAGTCAGTTAGGGAAACAGAACACCTTGCATATAATTACAAAACCTTATGATATGACGAATATTATCTTACTTTTGGTCTTGGTTCGTCTTTGCATGGCTGTTAGAAATGAATGTCAGTAGTCAGAATCACAATAATATAGCCCAATACAAATGAAATTGGAAGAGAGACAAGTTCAATGATTTATTACAAGGTCAGTGTTGGCTTTGCAAGAGTTTTGCCACCACTTTTTCCCATTGCCATTGAATGTGCCGCCACCACCAACTCTGAAATTTGTAACACTATCAAACATGATCCAGTGTAGTCTATCTTCTTGGTATGCTGACATTTGAGTCCATGCCTCGATTGTTCCATAGAGCTTACATGTTGGATTAGGAAAATAGAAGAATTACAATGAATTAGCTTGTGAAGATGGTAGGAAAAATTACCTAATTTCTCTCTAACAATTACTTGTGAACATATCTTACCATAAAGGCAGTGTTGGGTTGGCATGGACCAGAAAATGTTATTGGCTTAAGACGATAGATCCTATTTTCAGGTACCACAAGGATAGCCCCTCTAGAACATGCTTCATTCCAAGCCTTCCCAAATGCCTTAAGAGCAACAAGAATAGTTAAGAGAAAAGAAAAGTGAGAGAGATTGAGAATGGACCAAGTTTACGCATAACAATGTTTGATCTGTGTATTGATAACATGTTATGTTATTGTTACCTGGCTGTCATCTCTTCCATCTGCTTTGGCTCCAAAGTCATCGACGCTAACTGTTCCACGAGGCCTAGAAGAAAGAGGGATGGCTCTATTAGCCCTTGTTATGAGACCAAAATGTTCATGTTTTGTTCTGATCAATCTCCCATTATGCACAGGGTAGTAGTGTTGAGCATTTTTTGTTTTATAAAGTGATTCCTCTGTGTAATAGCCATTACATAAGACTAATGAAGCGAGGACAATGAAAAGCGTTTGAGGAGACATTTGGACGTTTCACTTTGTGAGAAAAGAACAAACTGAATGAAGGGAAAGAGTTAATGCTG